GATTGCCCCATCTTCCTATCTTCCTTCCAAGGAGTGGCTGGTATACACATATATGTACATGAATAATATATACATATGCATTCAAAGTACACTTATATGTATTTTATATATATATATACACACACACACACACACACACACACACACATTTATACATATTTGTATGTAAACTACATGCATGGTTTGCTGTGAAGAAGACCAAGATCACAGAGGCATGTACAAAAAACAATTTTGTTATGAAATCCAAGCTCCTATCTGCCAATTTCAGTGCCTAATGACATATTCCCTGGCTTGAAATCCCTTTAAGTCCATGTCATACTCTCAGTTGTGAATGTTCTTTCAGCTTGTGTTTTTGATATCAATTTACTGTCATATTTTTGATAATAAAGTTGCAAATCAACCAGACTGGGCTAATGTGTTACAGGGAGGGCACAGTTTCTATTTAAGGATTCACAGAAATGTGTTTATTATTCTCATTGGCAATTTTTTAAAAAGAGAATAACAGATGAATAACAGATGTGAATATATTTCATCTGCTTAAGTGTTTTTCACTGTGAGCATCTTGCTGAGGTTCTACAGTCCAAAGTCTCACCATCAGTTAAATATGTGACTGCACTTTCTCCTACTTAGTATTACAGAATGGAATCTTAAGTATGAAAGATGTCTTGTATAGTATGTCAAAATGTTGAGCAATATCGTTTCAATCTAAACACAGAAATGAAAAAAGAGCAGATGATTTCCCTTTTGCTGTAATTCACTTTGGGATGCATGTCATGAAGAGCACTATCCAAAAGCAATTTTCATTGATTGACTGACTGATTGAGGAAAAGGGTGAATGTTCTTTCAGCTTACGTCCCTTCTGAAGTATGATTCTTATAGCTCCTGACAGCTCTTCACAATTTGTAGTTAAATGCCATGTTAGCAAAAAAAAAAAAAAAAAAGAAAGAGAATTATAATTATTTGTGTTTTTAGTACAGCTGGTTTGAGCCACGTAGATAAATAGCTGAAGGATGAGATAGATCCAAAAATGCTCTAAATTCCTCCATTCAATACACTTTGATTTTAGAGACTATAATTGCTAAAAATACCTTATTAATAAGCTCACTGCATTAGCTAATCAGTAATACTGACGAACACATAATTCTTGTTCTACTTCTGTGGAAGGTGCTACTCTTTCTACAACATTCAGCATCAGTGTCCTTATAATCTCAAAAAGAATTAGTCCTCTCAAATGTGCCTCTGGTTCTATTAACCATGCTCCTTAATTTAGCTAATTTAGGCAAATCTTTCACTCTGTGATATATAACTAAATGAATGCTGATCCATGGATCACTGATGCAAACACCATGACCAGTGATGAAACTGAAAAAATTTCATGGAAATGTTCTTTGAAATTACTGTAACAGATCAATGTCTATCACTATTACTGTTGGCCTGTTCTTAAAATTTTAGATTATCCTCCTAATGACATGAAAAATACTTGGGGAATTTTTTCCCTTAATTTATGTAACTGGGCTTTTCTCAATTGTTAAAACAATCCTGCTGAGACAATAATTCTTACTTGCAATTGATTAAGTTAATCACCATGACTCTTTAAATGAACCAAATTTTAATGCTTGCAAAGTCAGATCTTTTGCAAATGGCTTATTTGTAGAATATTTTAAAAAGCATTGATGAGGTAAAGTGACAGTGCTGGTCATAACAAACATATTTCCAGGTAAGAGGCACTTAAAATGTCTTTCCCAGGCTGCTGCATACAAATGCACAGGCCTATAAGAATGTTCAAAACCCTTATATAGGTTCATGGTTGGGTTTACTATGGAAACTTGAGGAGGTAACTTTTGCAATTTGGAATTGACACTCTCTTCATGCAATTAGGCTTCCAGCAAAATAGGTCCAGGTTGGGGGGAAAAAAAACAACCCAGCTCAAACTAGTAAATAATTGCAGTATCATTGCATCAGTTTAGTTTAAAGAGCTGACAACCCTCTCTAAACTCCAAGCACAATTAGTCATTAGGGTCTAGTTTTTCAGCACTGTTAAGCAATTTGTAACCCATTCCTTTTAATAGGGTTAGGCATTACTTAACCGACACAGATGACTTGAAAACTGAAACCTCTAGTTATGAAGCAGCAACCTTGTTCATTACCTTCTGTGATAGGCAAATCATCTATAAAAACAGCATTTAATGGGCAACCAATGAATAATCAATGGCTTACTTTTCATCTGAGCGTGAAAATGAGAATAATCTAATACAGAATCCCTCTGGTAAGAGGATGAATCTTGGGCTCTGCTGCTCTTCAGGGCTGATTTATAAGGTCTTGGAAAGCTGATGTAAACAGATGATCAACGGGACCCATCCCTGCTCATAATAACCCCCAACTGGCCCACTCCCTGTTTTCCAAGTCCATCCCTTCAGGCTATTAGCTCTGTCCAGCTAATTCTTCCCTCTACTCCTGCCTGCTGCTTTTACTCCGGCCATCCGTTCAGTCCAGCCGACTCAGAAGTAATTTTATACGCAGCAGAGAGCGGGTGGAATTGATTTTTCACTCAGCGCTCAGTTCCCATCTGAATAATTATCAATTTTACTGCCTCATAAAGGGAAGAGTCAAAATTTCAAATCAATTCAAAAGAGCTTTTGAGACGACAGAAACTGTGCATAAGAATAGAGGTCAAAGTTGTCAGTGACCTAAGGAGATGATGTCAGATATTACTATACCCAACAGTTGACATCAGAGGCACTCAAGATGATATAACCTAGTGCTAATGCAAATCATATTTATGCTGACTACCAGAGACCAGTCATTAATATTTAAAATGCTATCTGAAAGCCTACATTCCAAATAAATAGAATATATTCTACTGTTAATAAAGATATATCACTACTTAGTCATATGTTATAAAGTGAAGGATTACCAAGTATTATTAACACACAGAAATTACTTAAACCAACAAATGCATGGTAATTCTGAGTAAAGACAAAGCTGATTGTCTCCTGCACAGCCACATTACTTGCTCTGCACAGTCTGATGGTATTTTGTCTAGCACCACAGTCTATTGATCTCTGCTAAAATTTTCTACCAACTTAGAAGTTTCTGCTAAAGTTTATGGGCCAATACTATGATTATGACTGAGAGTGCTGGCAGGAGTGATTTGGTGGTGGACTTGTTGCTTGCCATGGTGGGTGGGGTGTGCATCTGTTTCCTGGCCAATCCATGGCTACATGCTTTGTCAATGATGCTCAACCTTTTTCATACCAAAACAATTGAGGGCTATGACATACTCCCAACAGTACAGTAGCTACTGCAGGGGGTAAGGTAGGGGAGAGGAGAGGAAGGGTACACTCAAAACTCGATAGCATGTATATTTTCAAAATGACTTCCAGGTGAATCTGAGATTATTATCCTCAGCAACTATTTCTTTGAGAATCAGTAGTGTTAAGGACTTGGGGTTTTGAGCCAAACAGACCCTGGTTCAAATTCCAACTCCATCACTTTCCAGTTCATTTCTCTGCACCTTAATTTATTACTCTGTAAAGTGGGGATGATGTTACTCACATTTCAGGGTCACTGTGGGACCTCGGAAGGAAGGTTGGGCAATCTTACATATGATACTGCCTCGGAAACCCAAGGAGGGGTCGCTATGAGTCGGGGCCCACTTGATGGCAAATAACAAAAACAACAACAACGTGGGACCTAAATGGGAAGATTTCTTTGACTATCTCCATCCTCCTGTGTCACTTACTCTGTCATCATTGTATTAATCAAATAATCATGTAACTAGTTAGTTACTTGTTTCTCTGCCTTACCTGAAAGGAAGCTTTGTAAGGTGAGATTATACATTATGAGTCTTAGTGGTTCTTGCACTTTGCACACATTAAGTCCTCAATAAATATGAGTTACCTTTCTTTTCCTTTATTGTATTGCCAACATGTTATAATGGTTCCAGGGTCATATGAAATAGTTAATAGGCCTGTTGTCCTTTGTCTAGTTACACAACACCTTAATCAACATCTTAATTGCCCCCACCTCAACAGAAAATAACTGGGTAACTGAAACATGATCACACATGAATCATTTAAATATTAGTAAAAAAATGACACGGCTGTCTCATTCTAATTTCATCATTTCTTTACCCAGAGTGATACTTCTCTGCTGAATGAAGGTGGCTTATTGGTTGAGTAATCATCATGTACATTGTTGAAGTATTTACTTTTGCAGATATTAGCTGGCAAAAATTAAACAATTGAAAATAATGTGAGGACCTCATCTTCCAAATTTAGTGGAATTAAAAAAATTCATAGCGATGGTCTCTTCACAGACAAAATGATATTGTTAAAATACTGCTTATATGTATGTATATTCATTTTTAAATGCAAGCTATTACTACAGTTTGTAGAGTATTATTTTTTTCCTAATGTTAAACTTTGACCTAACCCATATTAACCAGTTAGAAAACATCTGAAAATCAAGAAAGAAATTGTGGTTTTGTTACATATTAGTTAAATGCTATTAGGAACATTACCTAACCTATCTCAACCTTGATTTCTCCTCTTAAAATGGGAAAAGTACCAACTGTGACATGATGAATGGAAAGTTCCTCGCAAGTTGCCTACCACAGACTAGGAGCCCAGCAAAAGGTAGTTTCTCAATATACTAGAGTGCTCACAAGGCAAACCTAAGATGACATTCTCAAGAGGTTCTAGGAAAGAAATCAGAGGTGGAATGTTTCTAGTTCAGCTTAGCCCTATACTTCTCTGAGGTCTCTGAAAAAGCTACACTCTTCTTAAATTCTGGGTTCAAGGTGAGATGAACTACCTAGGGATTTCTTGAGGGAGGGTTAATCTTGAGGCCAGTGTACTATTCCACTTTCAGGAACAATATTCCTTAAGAATAACTGGTAAAAAGTCTTGGGAAGATCAATCACTCTAAGAGATATTCAGGGACCAGGTTGACTTCTGGGAAACTATGGTTCTTAAGCCAGGTGACCAACCACCAGTTACCTGCTGCAGGACATCTGGGTTTTGCTGCATAAAGTGTAATAGTCTCTGACCGGCCTGGGTAGTCTCTCTGCATCGAAGTGGCTTCTTGCCCTCTTTTGCTATGTGCTTGAAGAGGTAGGTGATGATGTAGTCTAAACTGGTACAGCAGCTGGAGGAGACAACTGTATCTGCACAAACAATAATTGAGAATTCATTTGCATCGCGGAAGTGTTTGCTTCATCTATTAATTATAAGGCCTCCATTAAGAAAAAATCACTTTCTGGTTTCAAAATGCTTTTACCAAACTGTTAAGTTCCTTGAGGGCAGGGATTTTGGCCTTGTTTATCTCCTTAAAGCCAGTGTTTAACACAGGGCCTAGCATAGAGACATGTTAATAAGTAAATGATTCCTGGATTATATTGAATAGAATTTTCCGCTTGTGACCTTAAAGGTCTTCACAACAACCCTCTATTCAATTCAAGTGACTTTATTATTTACTTGGTACAGAGTGCCGTGCATCAGGTAAAACAAGGGCCTAACTATCACCCAGGAGCTCTGGTAGCATAGTGCCTTAGGCATTTGACTGCTAACCAGAAGGCTGGCGGTTCAAACCCACCAGGCACTCCTCAGAAGGAAGGCTGGGCAATCTACTTCCATAGTGATATTGCCTTGGAAACCCAAGGAGGGGCTATTGCTATGAGTTGGATCTGACTCCATGGCAGTGCATTGTGTTGTGTTTGTTGTAACTACCATGCTGGTGTCAAAGAGCCCATGAGTTAGTAGTATACAGGACACTGTAGAACAATGCTGTATACAAATGAGTGATACATGGCTGTGAGGATTTTGAGGAAGAGATTACATTTGGATGGGGATCAAGGAAAGTTTGACGAAGGAGGTAGTACCTAGATATGCCCAGCTGTAATGTTATTCCAGCTAGGCATGTTGTTGTTGTTGTTGTTGTTATGTGCCGTCGAGTCATACCTGACTCATAGCGACCCCTCCTTGGGTTTCCGAGGCAGTATCACTACGGAAGTAGGATTGCCCAACCTTCCTTCCGAGGAGTGGCTGGTGTGTTTGAACCGCCAGCCGTCTGGTTAGCAGGCAAGTGTCTTAGCCACTATGCTACCAGAGCTAGGCATAAGGAAGGAAATTTTTTGGATAGAGATTACCATAAAGCAACATAGTGTTAGGGGAAAAGCAAGGACTCTGAAGCCAGACAGCTCTGGTTCCAAACCCCATCTTTTCCAATGACCTGCTGTGTTGTTACTCTGAAACAGCCACTTAATCTTTCTCACCATTTAAAAAACACCTTGCAGAGAGCTGTATGTGAAGAAAACAAAGTACATAAGTAAAAAAAAATAGCTGATATTTATTGGGAGTGTTAGTTACTGTGCTAAATGTTTTACATGGGTGATTATATTTAATCCCCACACCCACACTGTAATGGTCAGTAGTATTATTTCCACTTTACATATGAAGACTGAGGCTTAGAGAGAGAAGGTGACTTGTCCAATGTCACAAGACTTAGAAGACTGTGGACCCATGATCAGAAAATAAACAAGGATTTGGTCTCTGGATCTGTACTCTTAACAACCATGTTAAAATGAGATACTGAGTAAAAATATATGTAAGCATCAAGTCCCTTCTTAAAACAGGATGGGCACTCAAAAGGCAGGAGTTGCTATTGCTTTGCTCTCAGTGGAGAAAAAAGAAGGATGCGTTTGGGGAATAGGACTTTTAGATTCAGTGAGAGAAGATGTTTAAGTCATACAGAGAAGGCTGGGGTTTTACTGAGCACATCCAATAGTGGACTGACACACTGTATTTACACTGAATTTAGAAGGTAATACAGGTGTTAGTTGAAGGTTTTTGAGCAATTAAGTTACATGACAGAGCAAGCATTTGTTAAGTATTCCCTTTGTACACCAAACTCATCATCTCATTTACTTCTAATTACTTTGTATGGCGGTATTGTTATTTACATTTTTCATACGAGAAAAGTGAAGATCAGTGATTAAGTACTTTTCCCAGAGTCCGTGGTTGTGATTCATAGCGTTTTTCTAGAGTTTTCTGGCTGATGGTAACATTTGAACATGACCCCTGCCAGTTTATGATTAGTATAAGAAATAGTAAGAGAATGAAAAATGGCAAATACGGTAAACTCAAAAGAGATGAAGAAGTAGACGAGGAGAGTAGGTGTGGAAATAGTAGATTACATATTTGTAGTATTCATTTTATTTATCTTTGAGGCTCTGAGGCAGATGTGTGCCTGTCATAGACTCCAAAACCAAAAACCAAATCCATTGTTGAGTTGATTCCGACTCAGAGAGACCTTATATGACAGAGTAGAACTGCCCCATAGGGTTTCCAAGGCTGTACATCTTTACGGAAGCAGACTGACACATCTTTCTCTTGCAGAGTGGCTAGTGGGTTTGAACTGTCGACCTTTTGGTTTGCAGCTGAGTGCTTAAATGATCACTGAGCCATGAGGGCCCCTTGCCATAGATTAGAGGTAAAATATTAGCCAAATTAATTAAAGAATGGGTAGGCAAAGCTAACCTGAGAAAGTTTTCAAGAGAAGAGAGTCTCAAGTTGTGTTCAGCAGTAATACCTAGCATTGATATAACACCAGAGTTTAAAACTCTCTAATACATATCATTTCAGAGAGAAATATGGTAAATAGAAAGAGGGAGGTTTTAGGGGGATCTTTTGAAATGCAGACAGACATATTCAAAAAAAGAACAATGGTAACTGATGCAGTATCATCAGGGGTTGAATGAAAGACTAAAAGGCATGGACAACAGTTTTGGAAAAATGTGGAGCTATGAGACTTTCAAGAAAGTTCCCCCCCGCCCTTCCTTAAAGCTATGGTATTTGAGGTACAAGATAACTGGATTACTGTAGAAAAGGGAGCTTTGATTTTCTAATCCCAGAGGTAGCAGAGTATAGTGGAAACCACATAGGCCTAGGAGTCAGACACAGACTCTTTGAGCATAGTTGCTTTTCTCTTGCACATTTATTCCTCTGAAGTTCCAAACATGAAAGTAAACAGATTAAGTAATTTAACACCTACAAAAGGAACCAAGCAGGAAATAGATGATTCCCCTCACTGTGAAGAGCAATATGCTATCAATCATACAAAAATTTTAAAGACTTCATGTAGCTTTGGTGACCACATGCCATGGAGGTTGCATTAAAAGGTTCTAATCCACTGAGTCAGCTGTGAAAAAGCCAAGTAAACACTTTAGACATGAAGGTTGGAGCATATATCCTTGCAATAAAAGAAGAAAAGCTTCCATTACAGCTGATTTATGCTTGGGGACTCTGAATAGGCTAAATGCTATTTCAGGGTAGATTTAGAAGTGTGGAATCACAGGGATCAGGGGGCATCTGGTCAAAAACAGAATGAATAGTACTGAGGGCTATGTATTACTGGTTTTCTTTATTCACAGCTCAAGCTATTGTGTTAGATTCAGAAAAATGAAATTTTCCTGATATAAAAGGATGGGTAGAAGTCATGAAATTTCATATTTTGTTCTAGTTCTTGGTGTTTAGAATCCTTTACAAAGGATTCCACTTGTTATTTAGATAATTTTGGAAATAATTTTCAAGCGTAGTAGGTACTTTGCCCTCTCTACCAACTTGTTTGGCACTGAAAACCACCAAATGATCCTTTCCCCTGCAACCTGTCTCCACAGGAAGCCCATGCATCATTAATAGCCCACCTACTCTGTAAGACCCATCACAGAAAGCTGTTCTGAAAAGTTAACTGTGCAGGAAACAGTTGCTTAACTGAGAGTCAGGAAGAATATTATTTGGCTGAGCAGAAATTTGGCTTTGGCTCAAAACTTCGCACCATAGAAGAAGGGAGGATAAAGGTTTTGGAAATATATAGTCTGAAAGGCAATTTCAGAATTGATTGAGGGGTGCAATGGTTTTGGAAACAGATGGATTTAGGTTTGAGTTTATATTTTTGAGATATTTGAGTTTACTGAGCTTCAGTCTGCACTCCTGTAAAATGTGCTTAATATTCCCTACTGTGGAAGGTGTTGTGAGAAATGAGATAAGGTGTGTGAAGACTGCACCACAGTGCCTGATACATGGTGTTGTTTTTTACTTGCTGCCTGACTCATAGTGACCTTATGGGTAACAGAATGAAATGTTGCTTAGTCCTGCACCATCCTCACAATCAGTATGTCTGAGTCCATTGTTTTATCCACTGTGTCAGTCTGTGTCACTGAGAGTCTCCTTCTTTTTTGCTCTCTGCTGTATTAAGCATTATGTCCTTCTTCAGCAATTGGTCCCTCCTGATTATGTGTCCAAAGTGAGTGAGACAGCCTTATCATCCTTGCTTTCTTCTATGGAGCATTCTGGTTGTACTTCCTTCAAGAGTGATTTATTCATTCTTCTGGAAGTTCATCACATATTCAAGAAGCTTCGTCAATACTAAAATTTGAATGTATCAACTCAGTCTTCCTTTTTCACTATTCAACTTTCACATGTATTATGAGGTGACTGAACAGACTATGGCATGGGTCAGGTGTACCTTAGTCATCAAAGTGACATCATTGTTTTTTAAGATTTTAAAGAGGTCTTTTACAGCAGATTTGCCTAATGCAGTATGTTGTTTAATTTCTTGACTGCTGCTTCCATGTGTGTTGACTGTTGGTCCAAGTATAACAAAATTCTTGACAAGTTCAATTACTTCACTATTTATATGATTTTGTTTATTGGCCCAGTTGTGAGGATTTTTGTTTTCTTTATTCATACTGAAGGCTGTAATCTTTTACCTTCATCAGTTAGTGCTCCAAGTTGTCTTTCTTTTCCATAGTAGGTTTTTCCTTTTCAATTCCCAAATGTTTTCTTGGATATTCCAATCCCTTAAACACACAGACTGCCAGTCTCTTCAGCTAATCCATAACTCTCTTCCTGCTTTAGCATTTTCTTTGGTGGTGCAAAATACACTAGGCCTCTATGTTTCTAAATATATCCTGAATGTTTTATTCCCATATTGTATTAATATCACAGATTCGATTCAATTGCAATTATGTTAAAAAATAACAATTTACCCTCTTGTATTCTTTACATACATTTCATTAATAATGAGCTTCAATCACAACAATAGCAGACTTACTGGTCTGATAGAGAATTGGTAGAACCCCACAAACTATGGCCCTTAGACATTCTT